CTTCTAGGCTTCAAAGTCCATTAACTGGGGTCAGCGTTAATTTAAAACGCCCGCTCCTAAACTCTTAGGGCAGTCTTCCCGCGTTGGGTGGGATGCTCAAAATGCTTCAGATTAACAAAAGAACCGCCTTCCTTGAGGCCCCGCTCATTTCTCAAAGCTGCGGTTCTGGTGAGGAAACCCCAAAAGCTCACGTTCCTTCTAGGCTTCAAAGTCCATTAACTGGGGTCAGCGTTAATTTAAAACGCCCGCTCCTAAACTCTTAGGGCAGTCTTCCCGCGTTGGGTGGGATGCTCAAAATGCTTCAGATTAACAAAAGAACCGCCTTCCTTGAGGCCCCGCTCATTTCTCAAAGCTGCGGTTCTGGTGAGGAAACCCCAAAAGCTCACGTTCGGCGGTCCCAGTCTTTAAACGTACTTGATTTCTCCTAGTGAAACTCAATGGCGGCCGGCACGTCCGGCCGGCACGTCCAGGGGATATTGCGGGGGTTTGATCCCTTCATGAACCTCGTCATCGATGAGTGCGTGGAGATGGCGCCGGGAGGACAGCAGAACAACATCGGCATGGTGGTGAGCGCCGCTTCGGGCCACAGCAAGCGGAGGGTGACCGGTCAAAAAATGTGGGGTTTGTGGTCAAAAAATGTGGGGTTTGTGGTCAAAAAACAGGCAGAGGTGGCACCTGGGGACATGGTTTAGTGGGCATGGGGGTGTTGAGTTGATGGTTGGACTGATGATCTTAGAGATCCTTTCCAAGCTTAATGATTCCTGGTTTTACTTTCATTAAAAATAATCCAGGCACCAAGCCAGGAAATATGAAATTAGTTATTCCTCTCCCCTTAACTGGTTTAGTGGTGGACTTGGTGTTAGGTTAATGGTTGGACTGGATTATATGAAAGTTCTTTTCCAATCTCAATGATTCTCTGATTCTATAAGCCTGCAAACGCAGCTGGCGTGTGTAAAATGAGCTGAATTTTAAGAAGCGGATGTGTTTACTGTAATAGTGTGGAACAATCCCTGGGGTTTTAGAATTAAAAAATCAGTCGGCGTTCATCCTCGCAGGGGAATTTGCCTAAATTTTTGGCACGGCATCGGGTTTTTAGGAAAATAAATTGGTAGGGGACAGGGTGGGACCTGCAGTGCTGCATCTCACCAGCTGCTCTGAATTTTTTACTTTTAGGTAATACGAGGAAACAGCATCATCATGCTGGAAGCCTTGGAACGAGTATAGCCTCGGAGAAACCTGCGTCGTTACCGGCCCCGATGAGTCCTTATCCTAGCTCTTCTGTTTACTCATTGAATCCCCTAGAAGCATTGCTGAGTGTAAACGTATTTTCTTTTTGTTTTGTTAAATAAATTTTGTAATGGTTTACGTAACTTGTGTCAGTTGTACTTGCTTTTTTTGGCTAACGGGGCAGCTGAAGCGCGCTGGTTCTTCAGCGCAGCGGTTGTTAATTCTGCTCCCGGTAGCTTTAAAACTCCGCAAAGACATTTGGGAGGCTTAATTTCTTGAAGCGGACGCTAGTTTGGCATTACCTTGGGTGTCCTTCCCCTCAGTAGCTTGTAAAGAACAAGCCACAAAGCTGCGTCGTGCCTGTTCAGGGGCTTATTGGTTCTTAATTGGCAGGAAGAGGGTAAAATTCCCTTCTGCGAAGGGTGGCGTAGAGTATTTGTGCCAAGCTGGGCTGCCTGAAAGTAGGAATTTAAAAAAAATTCACCATTTTTTGAACTCTTATTTCTGCATCACGGAGTTATGGTGCAAGGAACCAAAGTCTGCAGGGGCTGAACTGAAGAAGCCTTCAGAGCAAACCCGCTTCCAGGTCCCTGTTGGCAGCGATGGTCCTTTTGGTCACGGCATTTTTAGTATAAAGAGGTGCAAAGTGCTTTCTCAAGCGCCATTAAGGATGCCAAAACCAGTAGAAAGCGATTTTTTTTTTTTTTTGGTGTTTTTTTTTTCTCAGAAGATTTGACAACTGCTGCCTGGAGCCATGGCTACAGCAGCGCCGTGATGAAGCGTCTGTCGGACGCCACGGGTACAAATCCCGAGTTTGCTTTTCAGACTTTCCTGACCTGGCGTGAGCAGTGCCCCGCAGCGGGAAAGCCTGTTCCGCTGGGATGGAAAGCGTTCCGCTGGGAGAATGCAGACTGTAAGTACAGCAACGGGTTTGGTTTTTTTTTTTAGCTTTTGTTGCTGCTGCGTTTGCCGTGGCAAGGACGCGGCTGGACTACGCCAGCGGTCGGATGGTTGAGCCCCAGGTGGAACACCACAAAAAAACCCCCACCCGCCGCCATATGCTGTCCCGACAGCACCAGCCGAGTTCCCAAACGGCGTTAATTTTATTTCTAACAGCAATATTCAGACGCGGCTGAGGTGTCGCGGCGATATTAGATACAGTGGGGGGACGCGATGTTCTCGGGAGGGAAAAGAGTTTTTAGCTACTCAAACCTAGCGGTGCCATGCCGTAGGGTCGGCTCGATGATGAACACTTCCAAACTGCGCCCGAGCAAAGGACGGCGGGGGGTTTTTGCTGACTTTACCACCCGTTTTGGCAACTCCCTTAACAAGCAGCAGAGCAGTCCCCGCACCCGTTAAGCTACAGTACTTGTTCTGGAAGTAAATTAAGAACGCAGCCCCCATTCCCACTGCACTAGTCCCACCCCAAGGAATAATTACACCCTTCAGAAAATAAACTCAAGGCGGAGAGATTTACAGTCAAGAAATGGGTCTTCCCTGCCTGAAAGGCATCCAGAGAGGGAAAGCGATGCGCCCGGGTTAATCACAGTGATGCAGATCCTGAGTTTGGCAGACTCCTTACCGCAGAGGGCACTTTTTGGGGTCGATGTGGCATTGAAAACATCTTTAATCTCACACAGGGCTAGAGCGAGGCGTTCGCTTGAGGAAGGGCCAGCTGGGGAAAGCTTCCTCTGCCTTTTCGCTGCTGCTGGCTGGGCATCTCCTCTTCTGTAGGGGCTAAGCAAGGAGTCCTCATTTGTTAGCTTCGGTTGTGGCTAAAAAGATGCGGGACACCATCCGGATCTCCGGACGCTCCCGCGAGCGCCGGGCCGTTGGCTCCACAGGGCTCAGAGCTCCGTTTTCAGCTTCTCGTGCAAGCCTTCCTGGTCAATCCTGTCGTCGTTCCCATACCACTGGTGGTAAGCAAGCAGGGCAGCGTTTTTGGCTGCGACAGCGCTCAGCTCCATGGCGCTGGCGGCCCGCTCCATGCCGTTCAGGTAGTAGATTTTGTCGTGGAGGATGACGGGAGGGCATTTTTCCGGCGGGCTGTAGTGGGGGTACGCCAACCACTTCTTGACTTCGACGGAGTCGTAGGAGGAGAAAACCAAGTTGAGCTGCTCTTTGGTGAGCACCTCCTTTGAAAACACCTTCCAGATGGCCGACTGCAGGGGCAGCTTTCCTTCGCTGCCAACGTCTTCCACGGGAAACACCACCCCCAGGCTGTTGATGAACAGTTTGGGATTCTCCATAGTGAAGATGTCACTGAAATGAAAAGCAGCTGGGTCCCGGTAACCAAAGAAAGAGGCGTTTAATCGCCCGTGCACTAACGTCGTGACAGTCTGGTGGTAAGGGTTTGGGAACTCTGGGATAGGAGGGTCGAAGTTCTTGAAGGTGATGTTGGCCATTTTGCGGCTCAGCGGAGTGGCGATGACGACAATGTCGTACGTATCCCCCATTAGTCCCGATGTAGTGTTGTAAGTGACCTGGTAGAGCTTCACCGGGTCCCCTAGGGAGAAGAAGGGGGTTTTTTGTGTTCAAAAAAATGTGCAGACGTGGCACTCTGGGACATGGTTTAGTGGGCATGGGGGTGTTAGGTTGATGGTTGGACTGATGATCGTAGAGGTACTTTCCAACCTTAATGATTCCCAGTTTTTCTTTCATTAAAAAATAATCCAGCCACCAAGCCAGGAAACATGAAATTAATTATTACTCTCCCCTTAATTGGTTTAGTGGTGGGCTTGGCAGTGTCAGGTTAATGGTTGGGCTGGATGATGTGAAAGGTCTTCTCCAACCTAAATGATTCCATTATTCTAAGAACGGGAGAAGAGCTCAGTCATCCCATGGCTGGAGGGAATCCCATTTGTCCCTCTGACAAACATCAGGCTTTTAAAAAGCCATCCCGTTTAGGCTAATTATGCCTTGTTGTGAGCCAAAGTAGCTTCCTAAACGCGTACCAGCTTAGCTGCGGGAGCGCTGCGAGCTGGGGCTCCGAGCGGCGCCCAGTTTTCATTTTAAAAGACCAAGGAAGACGCAGGCCGTCGCTTCGGCCTGCCAAGAGCTGCAGCCAAGCAGCGGCGGAGGCCAACGCCGGTCTCCAGCTGCCAGAGCGTGCCAATCCCCTCCCCACCCGAAGGGAAAGCAAAACCCAACTCACCCGTGGGGCTGGGTCTGATTTTTGGCTCTATGGACAAAACTGTACCGGGGATGACTTCAGCTTTGGAGGCGTAGATAAGGCCGGTGCAGATGAGTTTGTTCCCCCCTTTTACTGACCAAAGGCCCGAGTCCACCCCTGCCAGAGAAACAGCACCTACAAGGAAAGCGTGATCGTTAGAGCCGCTCGTTCGGCGTCATTCTGTAGGGGAGAATTTGAAACAAGGCGGGGAAAAAAAGAAATCCCAACGCCCGTGAAGAGCACAAGGTCCCTCGGACAGATGTGTCGGGAGGGAGGTTAACCTACGAAACACTCACCTACGAAAGCGTTGATGTTGACACCTTGCCCGTAATTGAATCTCATGGCTGGACAAACCACCTCATTTATGAACTTATGGGAGAAGCCGGCTTTCTGCATGGCTTCGTCGATGGTTTGGTTCAGCATGCGGGTGAAGTCGTTCCCTCCGAGGGCGTGAAGCAGGCGCTCGTTACTGCTGAAGGCGTAGTCGTACGTCTGGTAGCGATAGATCCTTTAACCGGAGAGAAGAAATGGGTGTTCGGTCGCTGCCAACTATCTTTGGTGCCCTTGGAAGCTGCGGAGGATCTCAGAGCGCGGCTCACGAGAGCCTCACGGCCTTTCACGGGCGCAGCGGGGCTTGTCCTTGCAGCCAAGCCCTAGCCTAGAGTTGCACCTTCGTTATTCATTTACTGATCTTTCCTAACAAAAGCACTTTGCACACAGTCACAAATTTAATTCACTTTAGCACCCAGGTGCCAGAGCAATGGGACATGCACCCTCAGTAACTTTGCAGATGACACCAAGCTGGGTGGGAGTGTCGATCTGCTGGAGGGTAGGGTGGCCCCGCAGAGGGACCTGGACAGGCTGGACCAAGGGGTCAAGGTCAACTGTGTGAGGTTCAACAAGGCCAAGTGCCGGGGCCTGCACTTGGGTCACAACAACCCCATGCAACGCTGCAGGCGTGGGGAAGAGTGGCTGGGAAGCTGCCTGGCCGAAGAGGAGCTGGGGGTGTTGGTCGACAGCGGCTGAGCATGAGCCAGCCCTGTGCCCAGGTGGCCAAGAGCATCCTGGCTTGTGTCAGGGACAGTGTGGCCGCCGGAGCAGGGCAGGGATTGTCCCCTGTGCTCGGTGCCGGTGAGGCTGCACCTGGAATGCTATGTCCAGTTTTGGGCCCCTCAGCACAAGGAGGACATTG